GTACACTAAGAAATAGGCTTTGACCTTCTGAACAACTTTGCCGAAGACAGTAACTTTCTATCTGGTCAGGATCTCGAGATATTCCATGTTGTAACCAATTAAGTCAATCCCACGTAGTATGGACACCGTTCACGCGGTTTCCATTTACATTTTCTCTATTATCCGCATTTTGGGGGTTAATTGTAATCAAAGTTTAGCTTTTTTAGTTCAAAACAAGTTTTTTGAGGAATACAAGTTGGTTTCAGATCGATTGGCAGCAACAAAATGGCAATGGAAAACTCATATGTGTTGTACAAAGTACAACAGCGCGAGTAACGGGGGGTTAACTTTTATGCATACCGTAAAACGGGGTGTAATTGATCAGCGAGGCAAAATTGATCGCTGAAATTTCTCGTGATATTTTTTCATGTGTAACATGTTTTTCGTTACTAAGCGTACGAATGTATCTTTGTATACATTGTAAAAATATTATGCATAAGTACAATATTGGGTATACTCAGCGATCAAATTCACCCCGCTGATCAATTTCACCCCGTTTTACGGCACTTTCTTTGAAAATTTTCCCACCTAGACGGACCTAACAAATGCGAGATAGGAAGAAGTGACCGTCGTAATTAATTTTAGGCTCATAGGTTGCAAGAACTTCAGCATGTCCAAAATATATTCGTTCCCATTCAGTGTGTCCAAAATATATTATGGACCCTGTCCAAAATCAAGTGGAAGGGTCCAAAATATGTGAATATCATGATGTGAAAAGAATTATTTTTCGAGTATATATCAATAAATAAAACATCTAGTGACATTTTACATCCAAGATGAGTAGCTTTCGAACACAACCGCATGTAAATTGCATAATAATAATAAACAAATAATATTATTTTGACATAAACGTGATCTCACTTCCTCTAGGGGTCCAAAATCAGTTGGTTACCCTATGCGTTCTTTTACCACAAGAGGATCATTTTTAACGTTGTCTTTACCAATTGTGAAATTATCCCGTTTTGGCCAATCTTTTCGGACGTAGTGTTCCTTACGAGCTCGACTGTCCCATTTACACAAAAAACACATATATTTTGTGTATCCCTGTTGCAATCCAGTCAACATGGCAACCACTTTAAGATCGGAACAAATTTTCCAATTGTGTTGATTGTAATTTATCAAATTGAGCAATAGAGCCATTGATTCATACGTTTCCTTCATATTAACGGCATGAGCTAATGGAATAGAAGGCTTCTCATTCCCTTGATGCAGTAAAACGGCTTTCAAGCTCAACTTGCTGCTATCAATGAATAAACGCCATTCAGCTGGATCATATGGCTCACCAAACTCTTCAAACAAGCCGTTTACGTCATGGCAAAAACATGCCTTGTCCTTTGTAGAATAATATTTGTCAAATTTCTTGTGACGATTCCTGTGACAAGAAATTTTGACCTCCTTGCTCAGCATGTTGTGTTCTTTCAAGCGTGATGCCAGCAATTCGGATTTCTCCTTCGATAAGTCGAGATCTCGCACCAAATCATTAAATTCGGATTGTGTAAACAGTTTTGGGTTTCTTTCCAATTCCACCTCGAAGTCTTCCTCGCATTCCTCCTTGAATTCCTCCTCACTTTTTGTAACGGTCGATTCAACAGAGGGCGCTCGTTTCCGCTTTGGATAAACAGGATACGGGACCGAACTTGAATGTGGAACAGGTTTTGTCATAGAAGCCACTTGTGGATACTCAACTGTTTTGTGACGTCCTTGTTGCTTAACTTTTGTCAAGCAGAAATAACAATCCGTTGCATGACAAAACGGTCGACGCCATATGGTGGGTATGTCAAAGGACAAATAGCGACTGACAGATAACAAATAAGTGAGTTAGTAAGTAAGACATTAACACTTATCAAAAATAGATGATGTCGATCAGGAAAGAACAAAGCACTACCATGCTGTACATAAATTGTTTATATGAAAGTTATTCAAAAAATCAATTTACCTTGCGCCTGACATCCACCTAGCCAAGCACGTTTTGCACGAACTACATAATACTTTTGGAATCCACGGTTCGTCAAAGTCTCCAGGATAAATTTTAAAATAAAGCCTGTATGCAGTTTGCAACGAAGCAGTGAAATTGACCGATTTTGTAAATATATAGTTGCCACACGCGTAAGAAAACTTTTGAGGATTATTTTTACACTTGAATTCACGTTTTGTCGTATACATCGTTAAGCAATGGTAAAGAAAGAAAGCTGTCAAATTGAGTTGGTTGCGTTAGGTTCTCGCCGAGCGGTCTCACAAACACTAGCGTAAATTATATTGTTGAAAATATCCCATTTAATTTTGCGTGACAGCTGGTAGTGTTAGTGAAATGCACCGTATGCGTACACGTCCGCAGAAAGGCTTACTGGAAGTGGTGCATGAACCTAGGAGCGGGACAACGGCCAATCTTGGAACATTCAATTTCCATGATTTTACAAAAAATTTCATAACTTCGACAATTTCCAACCGATTTCATCCATTAAAGGCTCATTTTCTCCAGTTTTTAATGGAATTTAAGAATAAATTATGGAATGATTTTTTGAATCTTTTAATCCCATTAAAAATGTTGATTAAAACAAGATTTTTATGGAATATTCGCAGGAAAAATAAAAAATAAATGCTATAAATTTTTAAATGACTTCAAAATTAAATTTTTAATTAAGACATAATATTCGAGTGAACGATAGCAAATTTATTTAGCTTCACTTTCATAAGAAAAGATTTAAAATTGGTGCACTAGTTCCAAAGATATTGACATTTTAGTAATCGTACTTTTGTCCAAAATTCAAAAAATCAAAATTTTTGTATATCTCAAAAATGGCTCTACTTTATTTTTTTCTGACCACGGCATTGAATTCAGCGCAGGATTTTGCATTAGAAACGTTGGTCAACCACTAAAGTTCACACTTTTTATGTTGTTTTGTAAACTAGTGTAATAGGAATTATTTGAATTCACTTCAATTTATCCTGGATGTTGATCTCCTGACAGAATCTGCCAGCTCCCTGCGAATGCTTTTTTCCAACTTTCTCTGGAAGTTTTTATTGCTGGGAGTTCTCCGAAGTTCGTTCAAACCTGTCAAAAAAGTATCCTCTTGATTGATGTTATTGATAGAACTCTGTTATCATCGAAAATATGCATTTAGCATACCTATTTTAGCTGCTTCCAAGGAAGCTATAGCTTATCCATAACTGGAATACATCATTCATGGTAAAATTCACGGAAATCGTTTCCCTTGGACGTCACAATGGTTAAATATTAAAATTTCAGATAAAATTATATTTTTTCCCTTATGTCATTTTTACAACCCCCAAAATCCTGGCTACACCAATGCATTGTAGAAAAAAATCCATCTCAAATTCAAATAGCAGTGGCTTGAAAATGTCATAAAAACACCGACCATAATAAACTGTCTCTCAAACCACATGCATGGGTTTCCCCGGAATCCGTACCAACAGTGATGACTTACTCCGAACAGACTGAGCTCTGTCACTAAATGTGCTAGGATGAAGCTGCCCCATTAATTTTGCTGCTACTCAGTCAGAGCAGCCTTGAAACTGCAACCAGAAATGATTAACTATTCCCCAGAAACGAGCTGCATCTACGAAGGCACACCGCATAGGGTGGAATCATAACTTCCATGTGGACCACCACCGCGCGGTCGTCGTGATTTGCGAGCACACGCTAGGCTGAGATTTTGCATATCTGCTGCAGTCCGGGAAGCTTGATGCAGAAGACCGTGCAAAGAATGTCGTGGTACCTTTTGTACTCCCTGCAGTTGCTGCAGTCTTTTTGCCCTTTTTATTCGACCACTATGAACTAGAGTTTCAAAATGGGTTCTAACATAGCAAGGAAAGTAAGAAAGAGAAAAAAATGCTAAGCGTTTTTGCTGATAATTGCACGGCCACGAAAAAAACGTAGAACCGTGACCAAGTAGCCAGACCAGGCGTTGAGCCTTGTTCCTAAGCCTCTGGAAGGAATGGGAAGTGAAGTGAGTTCGCCAAGGGGTTGAAGTGAAACACGAGAATTAATTGCACTTTGCGCTTGCTTTTCTTAACGTGGTGGGAAAAAGAATTTGTAGCCCTATTACTTCTGGTAATAAAGTTTTCCGAATAAACCTTTATTCTCATTACGGCCAAAGCGAGGAAAAATATGCCTAGGTTGCAATTGTTAACACAAGTCGTTAGCTAGCTTAGCGTGCTGGAGTAGAAGTCTAAGTTTGTCAGTTGTGGCAGGAAATTGCACCCCAAACGGAACAGCAGAAGGAGCTGGGCTGGGATTGCCTTGTGGGCACGAAAACTCTCGCCCCGGCAGTGCTGGCGAATTTGACGGCTCAGTTGTGCTCATTAGGCGTTGACCAAGTGTCAGGAACTGTCTTGGTTTTAACATCGGTACAAACTATGCTGCCCTTGGGGTGTTTCGATAAGGAAGAGAGGAAAACTTTTCGTACCGGCATGAAAACCCCTAATTTGATTTTAATTACGGATATTTTAATTTGCAACAAACGCTAATGAAGTGGTTTATGAAGGAAGGCTCCGACTTACGATGAAACCGACAAACGTGACTATGAGCTAGCGTGTTACTTTTTAAAGCTGAATTAAACGGTCCTTACGAGAGCTGTATTTTCATTATCGCTTTAATTGAGTGGATGGAAGAATCCGAATTTTTTTATAGCGCCGTTGACATTAATCAACCGCTTGGGACGGCCTCTTTTTTTTATAGCTCGGCATCGTGAGGTCGAAATGAAGAAAAAAGCAATATGTATTTATATACCAGACAACGGAAATATTTTGACGAAATCGGACACTGATTGTAAATCAGAATCGGATGGAATCATTTGAGTCACGCTCATAGGATATGAATGATATGATATGAATGTCACACAACAGAAGCGAGGGGAGATCACATTGTATAAACATTAAAACTAAGGTTATTCAAATCTCAAGAAATTATAATTTAAATTATTTTTTTAAATGTTTTACAGGTTGTTCGTGCTGCGAGTCCAGCCTTACTTCGTGTCATCGCCCTTGGAGCATTTTGTATATATTGCACGGTAAGTAAATCTTAAATGAAATTAATACTAGAAAGAGCTGCTGGGTTTAAATGCTTTTCCCGTTGTAGCCTAAAATAAATTTCAACTAGAATAAATACCCGTCTACCACGAGCCTCTCGAATATCTCGATACCTTAAATTGGTACGTCTTCCAAAAATCCCATGCATAGAGTAGCTTTGGTTCATTTTTGTCGAATCATGATCGATCACATGCATCGTTTTTCTATTAATCAAACTCCTTGTGCTGAAGGATTATATCTATGAGTATCAATCAACAATCTTCTTTTCTGCATGAATTTAAATCGTTTTATTTGTTAGTGAAGCTGGTGATTAATTGATGTCAAAATATTTGAATTGGAAATCCAAACCCATGTTAAGGTAGAAGAGGAAGACAGTCCACGATGCATTTTTGGGTGAAATTCACGATGCAGTTTTCACGTATTATTCATTCTCAACAGCAAGGACTTGCTTCAGCAAATCACTGAATTATGAATGTAAGTGCTGTGAAGCAGTGTCTGTTTTTATCATTTACCATCACACGCAAAGAGTAGCGCTTCAACCCACTGTAAGTGAATTAAATTTGTTTTTAAAATCTTTGCTGTCACGTACGAGCAAAATTAACAACTCAGTTCTTTATACATCAACGAAAACGCGTTTGTTGATATTCACCAGTGCTTGATTATCCAAACCAAGAATGTCAAAATCTGAAGAGTTTTGAGGATCAATTTAATTTTGGGCAAAATGATTATTTTGAATATTGTCGAACCCAGAGCTTAAAACATCGATATTATCATCAATTCAGCATGAGCCAATATTTTTCCATCGATCAGTGTGTAAAAATCAACACGGCACGTTCCACAGCGCTATATTTGTGTAAATGAAAATAATCATTATGCAATTGATTCTCAAAATCATCCTCAACAAGATGAAGATGAATATTAATATTGACAACAACACAGGCTCAGTTGCTACTCATCTCTCAGACTAATTGGACGTTGTATCACCAGACAATACTTTCGAGCATCTTTTGTGCGACGCGCGTGTGTTTTTTTTTGCCATGAGAGGTTTAAGAGCAAATTGTGTTGTATTAGACACATCAATTAGCGGCGCTGGTGGTGTAGTGGTAAGCGTCATTACCTCTCACCCCAGAAGGCCTGGGTTCAATCCCAGTCGGCGCCACCGGGATGTTCTGAGGCATAACATCTCTGATCACGCCTTCCTTCGGAAGGGAAGTAAAGCTGTTGGTCCCCGGTTCATGAGTTGATGGGTCGATAGGTAGGGTCCTTGCGCGGGAGCTGCAACCCGGAGGCAACTTGACAACTCCAGTATATTGCCAGTGTACCCCAACAGTTTGGTTCTGGTGGTTCTGTCAAACTCACAAGTTTCAGAAGGGTTATCTGAATAGGGCGAATGCGGAAATGATGAACAATAAATAAAATCCAAGCTTAACATTCATATCATTGTCGTGCGCCCACCAAACCGCAACGCGCGTCTAACGTCAAAATTAACATTAGTGGCATAGGAAGTCCAGTGATGCCAGCGAGAAATGTCGTTTTGATTTTCAGTCGTATGCGAGGTCGTATGCACAATTCATAATCAGTTTATTAAACTATTTTTGTAGTCTCGTGTGTCTTTGAGCAGAACAGAACCAAATTTGATAATCTGACTGTCAAGTCCATACAAATCAATGTTACCAATGTAAAAAAAAAAGCTCCGTTAGAGACCGTGATGTCGGATTAAGGGAAGCCGGAGGAGATACTGTATACCAGAGTACTGCGAACTAACTCAAAATGCTTGTCATCTGGGAGCCGAGTCAAACTGTCAAACGGGCGCCAAACATTCAAAAGAGCTCAGAAGTAACTGTTTGAACCACAAGAGGAGGTGTTGCCACCTAATTAAGTATTATAATTATGAAACTGCCGAAACACCAACCTTAGTAGGCGGATAATGTAAGCGTGATGCTCGAAAAAGTGTTTTTATTTGATATTAATAATGCCAATACTGGGTTGCTGAAACAAGAATGTAATCAAACTTTATAAGAGTCATGTGAGCTTTGTGGGCAGGTGCACTCCCATCACCATGTATACGTTATTTCTGGAACAGAGGAGGAGGAGCCAAGAGTTCATTTGACAGCATGTATACAGCGAATCCAAACATATAAAGCAACCAACGATACAGACAAAACGGTTGCTACGACTACCATGACAAACTCGCTCTATAACATACCTCGATCCGAGTGGTAAAAGGATAATGATATATTGCTTGCCTGCTTTGTTGCAATACACACGGATGAGGACATAGCTTGATATGAATCGGGAAAAGACATAACAAAAAAAAATCCCATTAACACACGTGTATCATCTTCGGCTTTACTTCGTGAAGCAGCTTGCCAACAATTTGCTCGTTTCCTTCTACCGCCCCGAATGAGTTGTGTCGCACGGGCTGCTTGTCATGAAAAAGAACGGTGAAGATTATATCATTATTGCTTTCCACTTCTGACACAGCGTTATTATTCGGTTCGTTGATCGCTTGTTATTTTGTCATTTGGAGATATTTTTGATTCCTTGCATGTATATACAATTTCGTGAGCTGTTTCAGCAAAAAAAAAATTGCTGTATACGCAGCTAGTACTGCAAAATGTTTGAGGAACTTGCTTAAAAGATTACAGTGGTGAACTTTGTCTGTCTTTCGAAGGTCTTAAATGCATTTAAGCTAAATATGTAATATATCATGCAATTTGACTAATTTTAAATCTCAGTAGTTTACTTTACTTGCGCCGTAAGAGAAACACGGTAAAGTAAACATTTTTTATGGGCCCAGGACAATTCTTCATTGCACAACTATGCTGAAAGCAATAATCTGAAGGATAGTCAAATTCAAGAGCAAAAAATAACTGAAGAAACCAAAGTATTGTTATTGCCATTAGATGATATAAGAAAATTAAACTAGGTTCAATTTGTATGGATTTATTTCACTTCACCACGAAAATCATAAATTAGCTCTTTTCATATGGCATTCTTGTCCGTTGTTTGGCATCCACACATGGTGAAACAAAAAGTTGGCTTTCCATAGAGAAATATCGCAGTGGCGGTGAAGGACAATCCCTTTGTTTACGTCGTATGGCGACATCTACTATTTGCAAGTGGGTACGTGAAACTAAGGTTATCTGTCACCTTGCCGGGGACTTGGGGAGCTGCCTTCCATTGGTGCTCAGCACGGAAAACAAGATCGACGGAAAACAAATCCAAGGAAAAAAAAGACATCAATTCATCACTTGAAGCATTTCATGGAATACGAAAGGAAGAAGATCTTGATTCCAATTTACGTCGAGAGCAGTGCGGTCGACGTGCGCTTACATGATCTTCCGGACGACATGGATAATGTGGCTATCGTTGATCATATGCGTCAGTATGGGGAAGTGATAGCCATTAGAAGCGAAGTCTGGAAGAGCTATTTTCCAGGCTTTAGTAATGGAGTACGCGTTGTCAAAATTAAGCTTACTCTCCCCATCCCGTCGTACATAACCGTCGACGACGAAATTACGATGGTATCCTACCATAATCAGGTAAAAACATGCCGTAATTGCGAGCGCAAATCCCATCCCAAACAACGTTGCTCTGAGGTGGCAACAGCAACTGCAAACGAGGACAATAAACCCCAAACTGATCAACAGAATAGAAGCATCAACAACAGTAGCAGCGTGAGCAGTCAAACAGTCTACAAACAACAACCAAACGCAGCCAACGGTAAGCAGTGGCCCTCCCTTTCCAAACCAACACCTATTGCAGAGCAACAGCACAACAATAAAACTGAAACGAAACGCCAAAGATCGATCGACTCGGACACTACGAACAATGAAACGAAAAATTGAACGCAAACGACTCCACCGAAAGTGATAGCAGCTTGATGCCAGTGAGTGGTGATATTTGTTCCTATACGCAGCGCCCATATAGGATTCCAGATGTTTCACACATTGAAGATCCAGGAGGAGAACAAGAGGAGGATTGATGCCGCCTATTTAGAGCAGCTAATGCACAAGAAAAAGAAAAAAAGTGCTTCCTAATTAAAATAAATTTTCTATTTGTTTATAGTATTCGGCTCCGTTGAGTCTTATTGAGATTTGAGCCTAATAAAAAAAAAACGGCGATAGTGAAGATCTACATTCAAAAAATTCTACACGTCATCATCAAGTGTCTCACACTTAATTTTGCGCTTATTGTGAAACACATCCATTTCATGTGTGAATCTTATGCTATGAATCATGCCTGAACACTATGGATTTGAATTGTGACACACTTGGATTCTATGTGCCTCCTATGGTGATTTCAATAGCTTTGCACATCATAGTTCAATATTCTACAATATTCTACTTTATTGACTTCTACTTTGTCAACTCTAAAAATGAATCGACAAATATATTAACTCAGTGTTCAATCGGCTGTCGACAAAAGCAGGCCACTCTCGATGTGTGCCACGCGATCGTCTGTTTTCTTGGCATCAACCATTGTGTGGTCCTCCTCACTGTTCTTCATCAGCAGTTCTTTCGGTCGATGCGTCGTCGACTTTGGAAAGCAACCGTTTCGTGATGAGTGTGTGAGTGCTGACCACGTTTTGCGTCCATTGCTGCAATGGACGCGCTCTGACCCTCGTTGGCGTACAACAATTTGCCATACAATGAAACTACTGGAAGCGGCTCCAGTTCTGATGGAGGAGGCTTTTTGGATAGCGGAAGATAAAGTGTTTATTGTGTTGTGCCTTTTGACTATAGTTTTAAGATGTATTGTATAGTGACCAAAATCCTCGGCTCTGTAAAGTTAATTCGGTTGAGCCTTATCAAATAAATTAATGGACAAATATATTAACAAAACTGCCAGAGGCCAGAGCTTTCACATATCTTTTTAATGGGTCTGATTTGGGATTCGATCATAGACTGTTGGGGTGTGCTGCTGCCGGAGTCTTCGTTCGATCCCACTGTGCCACGGTTGTTTTCATATATTAGGC